GTTGCTACGGGGTAAATGGCAACATGGCCCAGTTGGTTCGATTCTTTACGTGTTGAACAAAGGTAGATACTGAATGATGAGTGCACATACATATGGTCAGTTGGGGTACATCATGAGTATGTAAGTCTATAATGTGTATTTAACGACTATATAATGAGAATGAGTATTGAATGGCAGCATATGGCAGCCATGGCAATGGTGGGACTCACGGATCTGTAGATAGTACCGATATCTGAAATGCAACTCTTATCCAGGAATTTGGATCTTTACCCTCTGGTAATTTAACATAGCTATTGAAAATGGCCAGTTATAGTGGATTTTTCCATTAAAAATGGTGATTTTCCATAGTTATGTTAGTTTACCAGAGGGTAAATCATGAACACCTGTCCGTTTAATTAGTGCCTTATAGGTTTGTCTCAATACGCTTAGGACGCCTTCCCAATGGATAATAAACCGATGTTCCACGAGTCAAATCCGAAACCATTCGACATCCATCGATTCATAATGATCAATGGGTAAATTGGACTATCACCAGAACAGCTTTTGGGGAACAAAAAAAACTTGGTAATGACTAACTTAGCTATTGAAAATTCTGATTTATAGTGGCTTTACCCATTAATAGCATGGTGATTTGTCATAGTTTTTTGTATGTTTACCAGAGGGTATCAAAGGTAAAACCTGATATGACCAATAAAAATGACAATCCACACATATATCCACAAGAAGTTCATCGGATCACATGAAGTGCATAAATAATAGAATAGTATAGCGACGAGAGATACATGTTGAATCATATACCCGAACACAATCGAATTGGAATCTATATACCATGGAAATATCTGGAAATCATTGTGTTCTATGCTTTTCCATCCCTGGGCCCATGTTCAAACCCAACCTGATCGGATTTAAGTAGAATTTTCGTCTCATTTTTCAGTATTCCTATTTATTTGTCCAAAGATTACCTCCATGGCCCAGTTCCATGAACAGCTCGGACAACCTCCATGAACAGCTCGGGGAATTCCCAGGGCCACGTGAATGACGACGCCGCTTTTGTTAACCAAAGTCGCCAGACAAACGAATCTGCTGAGTCATTGGTTTAAAAAACATAGGGCAAATAAATAAACAAATGAATCTATATAATTCAAAATTCATATATATATATATTTATATACATATATATGATTTTATACATAATATATATATATATATATATCAGAATATCATTTATAACAGGGGGAGAAACAAAAACAAAAACAGAAAAGGACGGCCAAGGGCTGTGCCTTCGCCCAACGAAATCGGCACGGGTGGGGCCTCGGGCCGGACATTGGCAACTCACCGTCCCGATTTATCATGATATATATATATATATGTTAAAAAAAAACCTTTAAACAATTTATCATGATTTATAAATGCTATATCATGATTTATCTCTTTCAGGATGTTTTTTTATTCTATTATTTTCTATTTTCTTGATTATTCTTGGGGTTTGCTACGACATATTGACATGTTTTTATATAAAATTGCACTACCCAGCTGGGCAAGTAGAAATGAGCAGTATGAGATTGCATGAGATACATTGATACACTACTTTCCAACAGTGATCTGGGTAAATCATAATAGTTCACTAACCTGAATTGAGATTCCAGCGAGATCACAGTGAGGTCGTTTATGTTTGATCATGTTTGATCAATACTCCATAAACCATCCCCCAGTCATCACCATTTTTATAGGTGGTATAGACTATTCCCAGTCATGGATGGTTTTTTATAGCATTGCTTTACCCACATTATTCCAATTTTTAACCATTATTAACCATTATTAATTATTAACCATTATTAACAATGATTAACCAATATTAACCATTATTAACCAATAGTTTTACCCACATCACCTTCGTTTCAAGGAACAAAAAACCACTGTCCGGGGTGTCTCCTCAAGGTGCCTTCCCGTGAAAACCATGGTGAAAACCACTGCCCGGTGCGCGCTTTTCCGCGCGGGGTTGATGATGTTATCCTAGGAATCATCATCAATCTCCTTAACCGAAATTAAATATTGATGATTATTCTATGTTATTTTATGTTATTCTATGTTATTTTATGTTATTCTGTGTTATTTTATGTTATTCTGTGTTATTTTATGTTATTCTATGTTATTTTATGTTATTCTATGTTATTTTATGTTATTCCATGTTATTCTATGTTATTTTATGTTATTCCATGTTATTTTATGTTATTCTATGTTATTCTATGTTATTTTATGTTATTCTGTGTTATTTTATGTTATTCTATGTTATTCTATGTTATTCTATGTCATTCTATGTTACCCGGAATAATCATCATCAATAATCTTTAAAATGATGAATATCCAATAATCATTTCAACCATTGATGAAAGCGGACATTGCCATCGACACTGGGAAAATCACGGGTTTTTGGAGGTCATCATCCCAACATATCCCATCACTCCCTGGCGATACCCCTCCATCTATGCAGGCCAAACATCATCCATTTGTGGATGATTTCCAGAAAACCATGGGTTTCCAGAGCTATTGGATGCCCATCTACCAGTCCATGCCATGTCCTGGCCAAGGTGCATTTTGATCCTCAATGGGCACCAAACCATAGCCAGGCCTAGGCCGTCCCGCGCAACGCGGAACGGCGTTGCGGAACGGCGTTGCCAGACTGCAGAATTCCGGGACCAACAAGGGACCAAGCTTCCAGTCAATGGCCATGACTCAGGATCCGAAAAAAATGGAGGTACCGATTCCATATATAAGGCCTATTTTTTAGGCCTAATTTTCAGGGAATATCCCCACAATTCATATGGCCTTATATGGTAGTAACGTACCTCCATCAATTGGATCCTGGAGATCTCCCATTGATCAGGGTGAATCCCTCGGAACGGTTGTGTCCCCGACATGATGGCAATGCGTTCCCGGCTGCTGGCAATGCAAAAGCTTCCCTCGGGCATCCACCTGGAACACCAAATGACACACCAGAAACCCATATGCTCCATGGTGCTGGTATATTTACCTACATTTGGGCGATTTTTAGGGTAAATGTATGTAAATGTTGGTAAATATTCCATACATGGAGCATATGGGAAATAGGTGCTACTAAAAAATAAAACCATCATATTGTTGTACCTCGATTAGAGTGGGGATACTGTATTGTGGCAAGTATTCCCAAAATAATTCTGAGTCAGTGTAATTGTTGGGGTGGTGCGGTATTGGGTCAAGTTTTTTTCCAACATTTTTTTTTCATGTTTCATCTTTCTACAGTTTTTTTCAGTTTTTTTTTGCATGTGTTTTCTATTTTTCAGCATTTTTGAAATTAATCAATTAATTAATTGTAATTAATTGATGCATATTTGTTTGTTGTGGTGATCCTCTATTGTGTCCAGCTGTTGTCTGAAGAAACAATGTTTTAAGGTTGTGACCCATCAGCAAGATTGATCTTCAATAATTAATGTGTTTGTTGTCGTGGTCCTCTATTGTGTGCAGTGTTTTTTCTCTGAGGTGAGAATGTTCATCATTACCTTTATCCCCTTCTTTGGAGTAGCTATTGTAAATTAATTACTTAGTTTTAAAAAAAAAACATCTAGGATCATCAGAATGCACCATTTTCACAACATATAAACTTATTTATGAACATATTATGAAACATAGCACCCAAACACTGTTTCAAGGGGGTAGCCGGTGAGCAGCATTGATCTTCAATAGTATGTTTGTTGTGGTGGTCCTCTATTGTGTCAAGCTTTTTTTTGAAGTCAAAGGTTTCCAACATCTTTCTCTCCTTTCCTTTTCCTTTCCTAATTCATAGTTCTCTGTTTACTTTCTTAGCTCCATTATTTTGGCATTCTCAAAATGTCTAAAGCAAATTGAAAGTAAATTGAAATCAGTTGAAAGTAAAATGAAATCAATTGAAATCAATTGAAAATCAATTGAACATAAGTTGAAAATCAATTGAAACCAATTGATCCAATTTTATTCAGTACCTGGTCCCTAAAAGAATTCACTTTAAAGTGTAGCCTGAAATTGTTTAGGGGGGGCCCTACACTTATCAGCATCCGACATTATAAACCCTCCAAAATTAAATCATGGAATTGGTGGTGAAAATCTGAAAACCGGAAAGGCTAGAATTGGTTGTAAAAACCAAGGTTACCCAAGCTCCGTGGGCAGCTTGGTCAGTGGTATGTTATGGTTCCCACTGGCCCATTTCCACCTATATTTAAGCATATGATGCAGTGTATATGATCAGCTACATATGATGTATATAATTATATATGTATATATCTGTGTGTTGATTGGTTGATTGATTTATTTATATTATTTATTTGTTTTCGGGTATGTACTTATATACTAACATGCAAAGGCTTACAACACAAACATATGCTCCATGTATGGAATATTTACCAACATTTACATACATTTACCCTAAAAATCACCCAAATGTAGGTAAATATACCAGCACCATGGAGCATATGGGCACAAACATACCAAAACACTTAAATTTAGTATGGATCCTTTCAGGTCTCATCTCTTTGTGATGACCGTGATGACCTTCTCACTCGCCAATGCACGGAGACATTGTCGAGGTCCTGAGAATGTGGACTCCGTGGACGTCCCAAGTTGGGCAGCCGTGGACTCATGACACACAAACATACGCGAGTTCATGTGCAGCAAAAACAACAAATAGAATTGTCTTATGGCATAGGTATAAGATGGTATAAAATCATAAAAGGATTTTTTTTTGAGGCAATTCATCGAACTGTGTTCATATGATGGAACTGTGTTCTTCACCAAAACGCAAGAACAAAGGCATAGACCCCGAATCAGCACCCGGAGCTATAGCTCAGGGAGTCGCTTCGGATGGATCCTCCCAGTACCAATGAGGCGTTGACTACATGGATTACAATTGGCCCAGATTTTACAACATGATGTTGACATTCTGATCATTTGATGGGTTTTTTCCCATGGTTTTCCCATGGTTTTTCCCCGTGCTACCATCTAGCCCTGTCCTCTGCCCTCTCTTTGCCACCGCTGCTTTCGATTTCCAGGAGCCTCAGCGACTCGGCAACGGCTGGGGTCCCAAGGTTCCTTCGGAGCCACAACCGCCATGGTCCATGGGACCCAGTGAGATATTTGGCACACTTCGGAAAATGATGCATATATATATATATACATATAGATATAGATATTATATATATATGCATTATATTATTATTATATATATACTATATCAATATATCATTTGCTTCCCAAATAGATGCTCCACGCGTCCACGCGTGGAAGATTTACCAACATTCAACCCCAAGATTGCCCAGTTTTGCGGGGATACACACGTGAAGCATCTCGGATTACAAGTACCATGATTTTGGGGCCAGAATCTGAACGAGCAAAGAAAGAAAAATGAGGAACGAAGTCTCCAGTTCATGTTTTTTCGAGATCTTTAGCAGTATTTGGAGCATCTAAAAATCTAAAAGCTACCCCTTGACATCGCGAATCATGCATTCATTTTTTCTAGCAAATTTTATAGCGGGAGATTAAATTGACTCATTCATGGCCAAACAAAGTGTTTAATACCCAATGACTAACTGACAACGTTGCGCTGTTCCACTTGTGGTTCGCATTCGCCTCTGCCTCATCTAGTCGATCTTATTGGAACTGTTATAGCTACCTCTGCTAATTCAACATATAGAACATGGCCCATTGATACATGGCTTGTGATGATATGTTCCTATTAAAAATACCGGGTTTGCTTTTCTTCCAGAAGGTACCTCTGAGTGTGTTCTCCTGAGGCTGTCCCCTCTCCCCATCGCCATCGGTACTGCCGCAAGGTGTTGAGAAACGGCCTACCATCTAGCTGGACCAATGTCAAATCTGATCAGAAACGAATTATACATGTCCTACTGTATGTATTGTAAAAATTGTATTCAAATATTATCATGCATAGATATCACATACTCATATGTATGTATACCTTGCCAATCGTAGATATGCTGCAAAAAACAAAACTTGTTAGCTGGTTACTAGATATTCCTATCTATAATAGGAAAATCAAAGGATTCCATGAACTACCCATCCAAGGTTGACCTAGTAGATTACCCTCTGGTTATGACTAACATAGCCATGGTATAGATGGCCCATAGAAATAGATGGTTTACCTATTAAAAAATGTGATTTTCTATGGCTATGTTAAATTACCAAAGGGTATATATATATATATTATTATATATATATCTATATCTATATCTATATGTATTTCGATCTAAGAAATGGCACCGCCCGAGTCGCACGTCGCTGGAATGATTCCGGTGCCCGGCCCACGGTACCCACAAGGTGGCCCAGCTGTTGGAAATCTTCCATCACATCTTCCACTTCCAGAACTCTCAGCCTTGGCTGGGCCCAACGGCCCCAATGAATATAGGCTTCTAGACCCAAACAGTCGATGTCATACATCCAAAAAAAAGGGGGTTCTAGGGGTATCAGCTATTTCAATGTACTATTTGAGGATGAAGTGTATATGATTTCTTTATATATCACTTATATATATATATATCTGTTAGTCTATTTGCACAGTCTCTTTTCAAAGAAAATGCGCAGAGACACGAACAAACACATGATATACATACACATACATATGAAATGTACATATCTGTCATTTCAGAGGCAACCATCCACAATCCTGAGAAGATCTATGATATTTCTAGATGCATACTTAATCATTATATGATATGCATCAAAATATACACAAAACAACATGTCTCATGTTAGATCTATAGTTCATGTGCGAGTTTGTTGATCTGTTCGTGGTTTGAGACCAGGATCGAGCTCGGTGCTGGAACCCCCGTGTGGTGTATATATTCGTTGATGCTAAACCAGGCTTTAGCGGCTAAACCCCAAAAAACTCAATGGTTTTATGGATGTTTTTCCATAAGAATCAATGGCAACTCCAGGATCCGATTGATTGGAGGTACCTACCATATATATCCATATATAAGGCCTATGTAACCTCCGTTTTAGGATCCTGGAATTCCCATTGAAAGAATGTATGCTTCTGTCCCAATGTCCTCCAGTTCCCTTCGCTTGGCCCAGTGGCAATTCCACCTGACACCGCCGAGGGTTGGATCAGAAATGACCACAGAGTTGGGGCCAGTCATGTGGTGGTTGATAAACATTGATAAACCCTATGACCCTATGAAGTCAAGTTATATATATATAAGTATCATAAACATGCATAAAGCCCAGTTGATAGACCCCAGTGAAGTATCATAAACATTCATAAATCAAGGTTATTGGAGTTATCTTCACCAACTGAAGTATCGTAAGGCCGATCTCAGGACAGGACACCCCGCGCAACGCACCTCCCAAGTGGAGCAGTAGTCATCTGGTGCCAAGCCTTCCGGGTTGAAGTCCAACACCTGGCGTGGGCACAAGTGGGATATACCCAATGTCACTTCACCAAAAAAATTTGGGTAATTTCACGTTGTTCATATCATCCAAATATCATCCAAATATACCATATGGTAATTTAACATAGCTATTGAAAATGGCCCATTTATAGTTGATTTACCTATTAAAGATGGTGATTTTCAATAGTTATGTTAGTTTACCAGAGGGTATCAAAGGTAAAACCTGATATGACCAATAAAAATGACAATCCACACATATCCACAAGAAGTTCATCGGATCACATGAAGTGCATAAAGAATAGAATAGTATAGCGACGAGAGATACATGTTGAATCATATACCCGAACACAATCGAATTGGAATCTATATACCATGGAAATATCTGGAAATCATTGTGTTCTATGATTTTCCATCCCTGGGCCCATGTTCAAACCCAACCTGATCGGATTTAAGTAGAATTCTCGTCTCATTTTTCAGTATTCCTATTTATTTGTCCAAAGATTTCCTCCATGGCCCAGTTCCACCCCATGGCCCATGAAAAATCCTCCTTCCCATCTGACTCGAGCCTTGCGCGAAAGCGTGAAGCGCGCCTTTTCGCCGATCTCAAGGAGCTGGACCACGGCCTCTTTGGCACCGGCCGTTCTCATCCGTTCTCCGGCTTTTTCGGCAATTTTTGTGGGTAAATGATAGGGATTACTATGGATTACTGGGGGATAATGGGAATATAATGGTGGTACAACTCGAGTGGCTGAATGGTTTCTGTACGAGGTGGAGCCGCGTGGAACTTCATGAGATAGCTAAGCTGGATCTAAGTTGGTTTATCGAATAGCTAGTTTAACGATTGGGTTTATGGACGTTAGTTTATGGTAGATGTGTCCAAGGATGAAACTCGTTTTCTTTTTGGGGTGTAAATAAACTTAATCAGCAAACCTAATCAGCAAACATAACTCACTCTCTCTCCATCGCCCTCTCCGGGAGTTCAGCATCTTGCTGAAGGCGAGCCAAGGACAGCTGGTCAACCCGAAAACATGGAATCATGGAATTTGTTCGCCCCAAAACAGTTGTGCAGCTGGAAGGCTGGATGTTAGTCCCCAAAAACTTGCATCAAGGTTTTAACCAGTCCTCATCTTTCGATGGTTACCTCTGGTAATCTAACAGTTTGCCATAGAAAATGATGGAAAACGGCGGACAGTTATCCACAAATGGTGGCATTTCCATGGCTATCTTAGCTTACTACAGGGTAAAAAACAATCTGGTGGTATCTTAAAAAAATGTCTATTGAAATTTGAACCAAGTCATACCAAGTCCAAGTCATCTCATTCCCTGGCCAGTAATTGGATGCAGCAATTGGACGGTGTGGTTGTGAGGTCCCCCATCCCTTGCGAACCGCGTTCGTTATGTTATCTACCCTCTTTGTTTCAAGCGCTGATACCTCTGCGCGCGCACACAGACTATATAAAGATACGTAGTTGCACACACACACAAATTGTATGTCATATGCTTCGATATAATAATTCTCAAAACAATTACATTTCCATCATCTAAGAGAATCTAAGCCCCAGCCGCTCTGTCGCTGAGGTTCCAGCAGTCCACACTGGGGAGCACTGTGGGTCCCCTAAGGCCAAGGCCACTTGGAAGTCCTCGTGCTCTGGATACGCCTGCGCCATGGACCCATTGGACCCATGGACCCATGGACAGTGCTGCGGATGATGGGTTGAAATCTGCTGAAATCTCAGTGGATGGAAGAAATCCTGCACCAGTTGATTGATGGTTTATCCCATTATTTATATGGTTTCAGTTTCAACCATCCAAGGTGGTGCAGGATTTCTTCCACTGGTCCACCCACCGTATCACTAGGCTCGCCACGATGTCCAACATTGCGAAGAGTCTACTGATTTTGGCTCTTTGATCGGTGCATGTCACTGCAGTCGATGCTGCCTTCAATGTCGGCTTACCAGTTTGCATCGTCTCAAGTCAGAACCCCCAATGTTGCATGGGCCTGTGTAAAGATCACGATCACATATCATTATAGGGGCGGAAGAAATTCCATGAACTAAATCCACCTTTTTCCTGCTTGATCCTGCTTGGATATGTTTATTTGTTGGTTACCTTTCCGCTTTAGAGGTTGAATTCCCATGTTGGCAGGCAAAAAATCACACTTGGGTGTGATGAATTCCCAGTTTCCCAATTTGATTTGCCAGGGCTTCCAAATGCCCACGTGGATAAAAACCAGTCGTTGGACGATGATGTTTCCCCACAGTTTGCTTGCCAAAATCCCATGTTGGTGTACCTTGTAAGGCCATCCAAGTCAAATTGCTAGTCATGCAACGTACCAGTCAAACAACAAACATCTTAATAGGTGGTGCCCCTGATAGCTGGGATAGTGAATTTTACAGCTTCTGGCAAAGAGAGAGAGAGAGAGAAAAACAATATATATATATGTATATTATACACATTATATAACTATAGGAAATGGGATAACAACTGACCAGGGCACCACCTTGACCACCTTGGAAAAACCCATCAACAGGGGAACGGTTCTTACGTTCATGGCTCAACGCTGGGAGCCCATTAACCCTGGGGCCTTCTTTTCCTCGATGTTTTCAATCTTCAGATACACCAAGTGTCGCTTCTTGGACTTCGCCTTCGGCCCGGAAGGCCCCCATGATGGTTGGTTCATATCATGTTCCAAATCAGCTGGGATCCACTGTGATACTTGGGAACTTGATCCAAGTGCCCATTGAATTCATGATCAACTGACAAATGTGGGGATATGGGATACCCCATTTGGAGCCAGGAACCATATGCTTGCTCCTTTGTGCCCATCAATGAAATTTAATGTAAATGCCACAGAATGACAAATATGCTAAGAAACCGGGCAGTGACAAAATTTGTAACTGCAACATCATATAATTTGTTGGATTTCCCTTCATTTTGGTTGCATAGCATGTCTTGAGACAAGATAAACTCACTAATGCCACACATGTAACATGTCAGTATCTAGCAGTACATAGCTAGACCCACGAAATCCCAAAAAGGGTAAAAGTACCACAATTCTACGGGTAATGCACCATTTTTATGGGTACTTGGAGGTGCCTTGGCCCAGCCCCAGCCATGCCTCCAGGTAGGCAGCTTTGGCCGCCCAACCCTGATGGCCGGGCTGCAAAGTCTTCTCTTTCTTGACGTCTCCTGGCGACTGGGGTCATATGGGCCAAAAATGGCCCATTTTGCCTCAGTTTCTCTAGGATTTTGGATGATTTTGGATGATTTGGATGCAGGGGGTATTTTTGCTTGGGACATGTTCATCAAATTGGTGGATTTCGAGGTTGTCTTGGTTGAGAAATGTTCAAAGTTCAAGGGAAATATGTGGAAATGATGCCTTCGTCATCAAAGTTGATGGGGAATATCTCAGCAGGAAACTGTGGATTCACCTTTGAGGGGTAGGTGTTCAGCGCACCAACATGTTGTTGTTTCTTCATTGTCCTTCAAACAAGTGGCCCGACAAGGTCGCATCACCATCCAAAGTCAGGAAAACAGAACAGCATGTTTAGCCCACGTGGCACGAAGATTTTGAAAGAAAATCAAATAGGGTGTGACCAAGTGGAACAACGACTAGCATTGCAATCACCAAACGTTGGACACCCCACACAATGAGTCATATGTTTTGGCGGGTGGGGAATGATTCATCCATTGAAACATGTCCCACTCATCAGCGGTTCACATAGTTAGGCTTACCCCGAGTTGTGCCCCTTGGGACACTTGTGCCCTCACCAAACCACTATGTGATTGGTTGGCCAAAAATATTGCATCCAAAATTCAATGATTCATCGTCATTTTTCCTGTGTTACAATGGCCCAACTAGGGGTATACCACGTTTTCGAGCAGACCCAAACTAGATATAGTTGGTTTAAAAATATACGATTAACATCCCATTAAATCTAATTTGGTGGCCAAATCATATCAAATCACCATTTTTCATTGTTGAATCAACATTTTTTCATGTTCAAATCCCAAGAATCTCAAACTTTTTGTCTACACCCCACGTATCCCCACATCTAGTGTGCACCATACCACACTTCACTACAAACATCAAAACAATAACACAAAACAATAGTATAATGGTTTATTAATTAAGGGGGTATTTCCCTAGTAGTCATTTCATCTGATGCTTTTTTATGGTACCCCCTAATTAAACAGCCTTAAGGATCGGGGTTGAAATTCATCCAGGGTTGACATTATAAATCAGTACATCATCCCATGTGTGTTGAATTCCCCATGGAATTCCGGTCCTTCCACTAAGGTCGGCCTTACCACGTCCTGGCTGTGACTCTCCGGCGTTTCATGGGTGATTTGCGCTGGTCTAACGATATCTTAAATGACATAAAATGTAACTTGATGATCATGAAATCAAACATTTCTCGATCTTGCTGTCTTCCAAGACTTTTTATCAACTCTTAACGGATCCACTTCCCCACCTAGGAGTCACTAGCACCGGCAACTTTCTCCCCGCCGCAGCCCGCCCCTGCCCGCGGCCTTCTTCGGCTTCTTGGGCTTTGGTGGTTCCTCCTGGCAGAAGGTGGCCATGGGGCCCATCTGTTTTAACACGAGGGGTATACCCACATGGCTGGCAGAGTTGTAATGGTGAAACTATATGAAATGATGAGCAAACAGTGGATTTAGGGGTGCCCTGTTTTCGGCAAGCCCATATCTAATTTCCGCCGATTTTGGGGAAAAACACGTCCATGCAAAAGCAACTGATCGCCCAGTCGTAAGCTGGCTGTCTAGAGCTCTTGGCAGCCATCCAACAAAAAACGTGGAGAAGTTGAGAATCCACAAAGCCGAACCAACCTATTCTTATATTGCATACATGGGTCAGTTTGGGTCAGTTTGTCACACCATTTGTCATAATTTACCTGTTGGTCTTTAAAAATGGGGCGGTACACGCCCATCTTTTTCAGTCAACCAACCAGTGCGAATTTGCGAAAATTATGGATCAACCTGTCACAAATTCTCGAAACTCCCGGAATTGTATTTATTGGTTTCCCTTCTTACAAGGTGGTGCCCCAACATAATTTTCTATGTTAGTCTACAATTAAGATTAATCAATCTCTGATACAACTAGGGGTCCTCGGGTTGTGGGTTAAAGTAGGTATACAGTATCTATATTCTTTATGCCGTCATACGTCCGGTCCACACATCCAACTTGGGGAGCACAATCGCTAGCAGGACCATGGCGGAGTCGGGTCACCAGCCTTCTTAATCATGGTGGGGGGTGGCGATGCCTTCGTCGACATGTCTTCCTGAAGGCGGGAGTTCTTTGGCATCAAACTTGGGGGCTCATTGCCAATCTTAGATACCCTGCAAAAAATTAAATTCTTTGCTGGTTAGTAGATAATCCCATTGATACCAAAAGACTAAAGGATCAAAGTATCCATGTAAGATTGACCTAGGATTCATGTCGAAATTGTGAAATGAAGACTTAAAGAGAACCTGATGGTGGTTGAGAACCCATTGAATAGCACGTCGGAAAACTGGGGGGTACTGGCAGTACGGGTCACAAATCGGAAGAACATTGCACGTACCCCCATAAACCAAGTTGAATATAATTATAGCATATTACCCATATGCTCCATGTATTGACCAACATTTGCCCGAACAAAATCACCCAGTTTTGTAGGTAAATACAGCATACATGGAGCATATGGGTTATAGCCATATCCATCTATATCTCCACTTATCAAACGGAACTGAACCCCCAAACCTCCACTACTCCCTCACGTCGTTCGGCCACCAGCACGGCACCATCTTGCACCTTGGCGCGGGTTTCTGGTGGTGTGCCCAGTGCGTAAAAAAACTGGGAAACCATCGTGCCACCAAGCCCATATGTTCCATGTATAGTATATTTACCTACATTTGGGTGATTTTTAGGGCAAATGTTGGTAAATATTCCATACATGGAGCATATGGGAAGGGTTGGACACAAACAACCGGCAACCAGTTGTATTACCCTCTGGTTATTTAACATAGCCATGGAAAATCAACATTTTTAATAGGTAAACCATCTATAAAGTGGCCATTTTCCATGGCTATGTTAAATAACCAGATGGTAATAATCATTTCACGAATTCACAAATCTTCCTTGGATTTGCGGTTAAAATCCTCACAATTTTCCATGGATTCCCCAAATGCGTGGTGCATTTCCCGTTGGAAAAGTCCACCTGTTTTTGGGGGTTCAACGGTGCACAAAAGGGCCCCGGCATTGTTTGGTTCACCCGTGAGCGGTTTGATGTCATCCAGCTCACGGCCTCGCGGGATCTAAAGGATGAGGATGATATCCATGGATAATACAAATAATGCATAATACGGTATATATGTATGTGTGTACATTTTTTCAGGTCATATTTTATTATGCTGTATTCAAAAAAAGAAAAAACAATAGTATATATTATATCAAATGTGATTTAAATTCCAGTCATATACATATATATATATGTTATGAATATCGTTTTTTTTACATGATGTTTGTCAAAATCAATGTTAATAAATTTTACATAAGTAATATAATGAAAAAATAAATACATAGATAAATCAAATAAATTGAAATAATATATATATACAGATATATATATATGTACACATTGTATACGTATACAAATATAGGTATACATTGAGTGTGGAATGGAAAAGTTATCCTGCACTCTTGTATCGCAATATATCCCTAAATTTGCACCAGAAACAAATACTATAACCTTCCAACATGCCCTATTGAATGGATATTTGTTGTTGGACAGTAGAAAAGGTCTTAGATCAGAATTAGATCACTATGTTGCATATGTTTGTATACAAATGATCATCACTCAACGTAATCTTCCAAGATAGCCATCCAGTTTCCAATACGATTCCAGTAAAATAACGTGGGATGAGTAGTGAGTAGTGAATGATGGGATGTGTGGAAAATACATATGTGCACATAAATGCATGGAAAACTGATGAACAATATGTATATATATATACACGTATATACATATATATATATATGTGTGTACACGTCTATTATATATATGTATACACATACGTGAATACATGTATACATATACGTATATACATATGTATGTGTATTGCATACTTTCAATTGAATAAAATTCACCACATTGACTGAAAGAGGATGAATCTACTAGGATAATCGCAAAAAAATGATGGGGAAATATATGGGACCACAAGAAGAGGATCAGGATATGATAGGATCGTTCACCTGGAATGCAATCAAATTGACTGGCTAACATCAAGCCGCCTTTCAAAATGACCTTTTTCATCCCTTGGATAAGGTCATCCAAATCTTGAAACATGGACTGTGCTATCCATCACAGCGAATGCGGGCAAGTTGGAACTTAATGGTTTGGTGCATGCCATGTGAAAGGTAACATCCCAAATGCTACCAGTACTATACATACGTATATTTATATATACATAATATGTGAAACACATGTATGTAGAGATTATCCGCTCCACCTATTATTCATCCATCAACGTATCTATCTGACCCAATTTCATTCATTGTACGCTAATCCAATCAAATCTAGTTCATCTATCTCAATCTATCTACTCAACTATACATCCCATCTAACATAAGCATAAACCCAAGCATGCCCAAACGAACCCATGAATCAAATTGTTGGTAAAATGTCGGTATCTCTGGTGATTTAACATAGCTATTAAGGTAGCTATTGAAAACATCATTGTTCATGGGTAAACCAACCTATAAATGAATCATCATAGAGGCGCTAGTCTGATAGTTATCATTTAAAATAATGAATGAACTCCAACGAAAAAACCTCAATGAGTCATCAAAAGGGGACAGTTATCATTTATAGAACATATAGACAAAAAAAACCTCTGGTAACCAATGGTAAATTATACCATAGCAAACAACGTTGGTTTACCAGCAAAGCCCACCGGCTCGCCGGCTCCCGCGCCTTCGCAGGTGAGTTTGATCTGCTTGGGTGGAACCCGGATGCTGTACCTGGATGGGTCAAACGGCCAAATACTGGGGATGGGATATCTTCCCACTTTCCCACTGCCACGTTTGTTGATAGGTTGGAAGGGTTGACCCTTTTTTAATTCGGAGCATCCAGCGCCCGAGGTTTCTATAGCTTACCAAACCGCAAACATTTCCCAACCATTCCAAACAATCCCATATCAACGATTTATATCGATACTTGAATGTTGATCCCATGAATTTCGTACAAACAAATCCCTCTATATACCCTCTGGTAAACTAACATAACTATGGAAAATCACAATGTTCAATGGGTAAATCAACTATAAACGGCCATTTTCAATAGCTATATTGGTTGACCAAAGGGTAAATCACCATGTTTCCACCGTTTTCCGACCATTTTCTCAAAAAGAGCCCGGAGAAAAAGCGGCACTTCAGGTTCTCTTTGAGGTGTCCAGGTGTGGAGTTGGGCTCCACTGGGACATTCACCTGGCGTCACTTTGACTACTGTAGGTGAAAATCCATCAATCAATCAGTCAGTCAGTCAGTTCTATCAATACAGTACTTCAATATAATGTTAATCAATCAATAAAATATGTTTGATTCTTCAATATGTGGTTATGGTTTTCAGTCAGTCAATCAATCAGTCAGTCAATCAATCAATCACTATGTACATAACATAAAACAATATAATATATCTATATATATACATAGGGAATAAAACTTGAAAGGGATGCAATGGATATAATTAATAGATTTATATTCCGTTCACTTCAGTAAGAAACAAAGTGGAATCTTGTATCACCAAATGAAAAGAAAATAATGATTATATAATGGTGGTAAATAATGGGTAAAGAACCAACAATATATTATATAACGGATATTGTGTACCCAAACATGCTTGAGTACTGGTGATTATCAATTATCATCAGTGATGAATAGTGCTTGATAATGAATACATAATACATATACATATATTTACATAGATATAAATATACATATACAAATATTTACACAGATATATATATATATACATATACATATATACATATATACATATATACATATACATATACATATTTCTATTCATATGTAAATATATATATATGTTATACATATAAAAAAGAACACATAGGAACAACATGTAATATGATAATTGTGATATTTGGTTTCAACATATTCCAACAATATCTATACACATATATATATAAGAAATACTAGGATGATAACAATATTGAACTTCACAATTGGTACTCTAACCATGGGGTTTCATTGGGAGGTTTGGGCCTTGGGATACTGCAGCTGGGTCCAGGCAATGGTCCTCCATGGATCTCCTCCAAGTTGGCCAGTCTGTAGACCTCATACCATACCTACAGCCTAGTTGTAAAACCAACTTCGCCATCATTTTAGAAATCATAGAGGTATGTCGCAATATGTACCGGTATATACCTATGACTTTACCACCACATACCCTCTGGTAAACATACAAAAAACTATGAAACATCACCCATTTTTACGAGGTAATCAACCATAAATGGCCATGTTCAATAGCAAACTGTTAGTTTGCCAGTGGGTAGACATCACAATGGCCATGTTGGTAAAATCCCAGGCCGCCAGCCTGGCCTCCCCAGTGGGCAAAACGACCTTCACCTGCATGCTGGGCCGGCCTCAGCTGAAAAACGGACGTGACCGAAGTGAAGGATGGGCTTTATATGGATTTATCTATGGGTTTAACACATTTATGAGATTTTTCTTTGGGATTTATATGTATTTATATACATATATAAATATGTATTATATATATATGTATTATATATATATGTGTATTATATACATATATATGTGTATATTATATATATGTATCACATATATATATGTATGTATATTATATATATGTATAATATATATATGTATATATTATATATATATGTATAATATATATATATGTGTATAATATACTGTGGATTCTAATTATTAAAAACCATGGACCCAACGTCTGTGGAATTTATGTGATTTACATGGATTCCTGGTGCTTACTTCTATTGGATTATCCCAGCTATGGGGTGGCTTCAGTGAAATTGCGGACCTCAGACCTCCGATTCATGATTCATAACTGGTGGGTGGCTTCAACCATCTTGAAAAATATTAGTCAATGGGAAGGATTATCCTATATATTATGGAAAATTAAAAACGTTCCAAACCACCAGCCAGATCATTTATGGATATAAATCTATGCAGCATATCTGGGCTTCTCCATTGGTTTTGTGTGGTTTGTCTGTCATGGGGTACACTACCGTACAGCCCCCTTGATTGAAGGAAAAAACAACTTGTGAAAATGGCATTCATACCTCGTGTTGAATCAGCAAAATTCATGGCTCCAAAGCATGGCTGTGTACAAGTTCTCGGGGCCATTGGTTCACATTTGCCACGGAGCATCGCATCACTACAAGATGGTTGCGTCCCAGTTGCTGTTCGTCAACCCCCCATGTCATCATGTGACCAAACGGTTGGAAGCATGTGGGTTCAGGATCAACTTATGTATTGACAATGGGGCTTTACCAAACAGAAACATCACTAAATCTTCACCAGAATTATCTGAATCCTTCGGTTCATCCCTGTGGCGGTCACCGAGCCCCGGGCACGACTCTTCTGCTGGCTGTGCGCCCCCGAAGCTAAGCTGAGAGCCGGAGATAGATGCATCGAGGCTTGGGAAAACCTGAAGGGTGATGAAGGGTGAAGATATCAATATATATCAATTGCTGGTTGGGGGTTCCAATCCCTCTGAGAAATATGAGTCAGTTGGGGTTACTATTCCAATATATGGAAAAATAAAAGTCATGTTCCAAACCACCAGCCAGATTGGATTCAATTGGTCCATCCGAACTTTCCGACTTCTCAGATCCTCGGATGGATCCATTTTGCACCAACCCCTCCATCCCAAGACACTGCAAGAAACAACATCACCTGCCACAGAAACACTGTTGGAACGTGATCCGCCCATTTTGGCATGCTGGGGACCCAGTATTCTAGTGCTTTCTGATGACCACCTGGGAGATCCTGGGATGTTGGCATCTCCTAAGACCCGGTTCTGGATGCAGTTTGCAGTGAGGAATGTAAAGATGTGCAATGGTAATGGGAAGTGAACTGTGTAAAATTCAAAGTTGGGATTCCATGACCCTGCTTGGAGCATGCAACTTTGCCCACGGGCAAGCCCATTCCATAAAGTGAATCACATAATCAACATGTGTAAGCAGCATCAATTAAATACAGTATGTTTGCAAAAACAATATGGCAACACAAGGTTCTGCCCCCAAGGTATAGGTTGGTTCATAGCACCCATTAACTATAATCTCTGCTCCCTAATTCCAGAACACCCCCCAAAATGGTCAACACAGTGTTTTTTTAGTATTAAAGGGTAGTTTGTATTAGGGTGCCCTTAATATTCCAATGAAAACCCTAATAACAAAAAAAACTAGATTTCAAATTTGATTAAATCCGTTTGTACAACATATATATAATATTGCCGAAAATTGGATTTCAAAGTTTTCCCCTAATATTCCAATGAAAACCTATTAATAAAATAAAAAATGAAACTTGTGAGATTGGACCCTAATTTTCTTTTAAAAAACATTCTATTTTTATTAATAGGGGGTCGAACCCATTATTTCATCATCCTGTTTTCCTATTGATTTTCGATTACCACAATAAAAAACGCAATTGTAACCCACCAATAAAACGAAATTGCCAATCCATTCCTATTTTTATTGGGGTGGTTTTAGTAGGGAGAAGAGATTCGTACCACTCAATACAGTTCAACTACTCAAAAGCCAGCTTCGCTAGGGGGGGCCCACCTTCATTCCGGAGCCACCTCTTGGGATTTCTTTGGAGATACATTCGTTTTCCGTGACGCCAGAACCACGGCAACGCCCATTTTTGGCCAATCACAAACAGCACAATATTTTGAGCTGGTGAAGTTTCTTCGCCTCTCTGGGTGCAAATTCTGTACACTGTACGCACACCATTGGGGACGGGTCAAATTGTCTATGTGAACACAAGCTGAAGTGCGGAAAACCCCCGGACAAAGATGGATCTGATTGGATTAGGAAAGTGACCAAAAACCTGTGGCTTTGTCATGTCCTTGTTGTGTCCTGACAAACAACTTGACACATCCCTTGATTTTCTGAAGCGATTACGACCCACTCTCAGCACTCGTCAGCCTGAGGAAAAAACATGTGCTAAACATCATGATCACAGAGTTTTTTCTCAAAGTTGTCTCAGATTTAGAAACCCCAAATCCACAGGTAAAAACTGCACTACCAAATTGTTTCCCGATTGGCTCTCACTTTGCCTTTGGAGTGGTTCAAGCAAGCACACACACACACACACATTTCAAGCACAGGCCACCAACAGTCCCATCTCAAGATGCAAATGAATACATCCTAATTATACAGCATAATAAATAAATAAACAAATGAATAAATAAACATAGATATAATAAATACTCAATGGATAAACCATGATAAATCCAAGGGAAAACATCCTTTCAAAAAAACGTGGTTCCTCCGCAGCGTCGCCTGTGGCGTCAGCACGCGTCAGCCACGTATTCCCGGACCTCGGTGAGATCCCTGAAGCCCAGGCCCTGGTAGATTCCTGAGCAGACAAAGACCGCCCGCGAGTACGTTGCTTGATGACGCATATAACTGTGGTTTCTGGTAGATATAACTATACTTAATGGCGGTTATAATATGTATAGCTATGGTTTATGGTAGATGGATATGCTATAACATGCTATATCCCATATGCTCCATGGTGCTGGTATATTTACCTACAAAACTGGGTGATTTTGTTCGGGCAAATGTTGGAAAATAATCCAGCACCATGGAGCATATGGGATGGTAGATGGTTTTATGGTAGATACAATAGCTAGTTAGATAAGAAAGATAAACAGATAGACAAACAAACAGACAGAGATAGAGATAGAGATATAGAGATATAGATAGATAGACAAACAAACAAACAAATAGATAGATAGAAATAGTTAGATAGATACTTGAGGTCAAAGGGGTTTATAAACCAAGTATAAGCAACAAACATGACTGAGAAGCACCACCTTGTAGTGATCTCAGTGTTGATGGTAGCAGCTCAAATCGAAAGCCAAATCCTGGCAATGTTAGCGGTTAGCATCCTGCAAACTTGTGGAAAGCCCACCAGACATTATCAAACGGGAAACCATGGATTTTCCACATCTATGTTTGTTTATCTCAGGGTATATATTATCGCAATGTTTGAATGCTGAACACCTGGAAAAAACCCATGCGACCTGTGAATCAGATCGACAAAACACCACCTAAAAAAAATCAATGGCGATCCCGTATCCATCCCCAAACTAATAGATTTAAGCAGGATCTATTCTTGCGTATTTCAAAGGGATCAGGGGCACTTTTTTCGGATGATGACAATCCACCAAGGGTGGATTCAAGTTTAGAGTCGATTCACGCCCTTTGAAAAGCATTGCGGTACATTAGCCCATTGTACGGAAAGGTCGACGGTGAGGTTGACGGTCCGTCCAGGTGTCCGCTGCAACAAAATAATGCCTATTTTTATGAAATAAGGCCTATTTTGAACGAAATAAGCCTTATTTCAAAAAAAAACCTGTTTTGTTGCGGCGGACACCTTGACGGACACTTTGACGGACCGTCAACCCCACTGTCGACCTATCCGTCGACCTCACTGTCGACCTCCGTCAACCTAAGCGTCAAGCATCCCGCATGCGCCACTAGAAACCTCAATTTCATACGTTTAAATCTAGATAAAATGTATATATATATATATAATACATATGTATATATATATATATATATGTCATATATTCCCCCATAAAGCCTAGCAATTGGAACTTGTATATAAGCCAATTTGGCTAACGAAGTAGCGCACCATCTTGTGGGGGTCAAGGATTGAATCATATCAAACTTAAACTACATTTATATAAACCATACTAAACACCGTCACTTCTCATATTAGTAGCCGTATCCTCCCATGAAAAGTGTGGCAAGGGTCCCATCACGGAGGTCTTGTTTTGATCCGCTGCGATCACCAATTGGCTTCGGCCCAGCCCCTCCTTCTCCACAGGCGTCAGCAGGTAACGACACGCCTCAGCTGGCATGGCATTGCATGGTGTGCTAAGTTGACATAGACATGAGGGTTTCCATAAATGGGATACCCCATGGTACCCCCAAATGGATGATTTTTTTCATGGACAATTCGTAGCACCAGTTTAGGAAACCTCCATGTGGAATAGCTACGGCTAGGTCTACATTTCTGATACCCTCTGGTAAACTAACATAGCTATTGAAAATGGCTATTTATAGTGAGTTTTCCCATTGAAAATGGTGATTTTCCATAGTTATGGGACAGTTTACCAGAGGGTATCTTTTTAGGAATAGCTACGGCTAGGGTAAGCAACACGAAACAAGGGGATTGAAAAATGCGGATCTCGAACACCGCCGTCTCAATGCCTGCACGAAACAAACAACCGTCATTCATTACCCTCTGGTGATATGGCGCAGCTATTGAACATCACCATCTTTCATGGGAAAATAATTCTTCTAAATGGATTGGTTTAAGGGAAAATCTTAACTGGAAACCATTGTTTTTACCATCAAAATCATCAAATAGAGGCTAGGGGTTTCCTGTGAATATTAAATCTACCAGAGGATGATATTCAATGATTTTAGCCACGTCCCACCGGTCCACCAAGATACATACCAGCAAATGAGCTGCCCATATCCACGGCCGCGAAACTCTGCCGGGGTAAAGACTCCAGTGATGCGCATGGTGTTGGCTGTGGCACCTCCATAGCCCGCGTAGCTTACGAAGTTCTCCCCCTGGAAGAGTAAGAACATGCCACGTGCTTCCTTCGGCAACCTGTCATTGGTGGATGTGAAGGATGTTGACAATGCCAAGCCGAGTTTGTCTCATGGAACGCACGAGAAATCAAGCGTTGCAAATCCCGAGGATCTTCTATTGCTATGCCTGATGACACCGCAGGGTACCAGGTGGCCAGCTACCTGTGGTGAGCATGCCATGTAGCTACAAAAAATGTGTTAGCTCTCTGTTTTCAAGACCTTCATGTCATACATAGACTTTTTCTTCGTTGCTTTAGATTTAAAACATAAAAAAAACATGTACAATTCACGTGAAAAAGTCATTAATTTGCCAGTAAAAAATCATGTATCATCCCAATATCCCTGGTATTTCAACCGCTCGAACCATGCCAACGTGCACTTGGCCAATTCCGACAGCTGATTCTCCACCATGCGCTCTTGCGCATATCCCCAAACCTCAGTGTCGAGCTGGGGCATGTTGGGGAACATTGCTGCAGAAAAAGGGGTGGCATATACTGAAAATCAGGATCCCCAAAACCATGGATTTCAATAAGAAAAGGGTCCCAAAATGGATGATTTGGGAATATCACCATTTTAGGAAACCACCATATATGCAATGCCAAATCATATGCACCAAATTATTTGCATACACATTTTACATTTTTAATGGGGCCGAAATCCGTACCCAAACAATGTAAAGTGTATATGTATCTATATATATATTATAATCTGTATATTATACATTCAAAAAGTTCGTAATTATATAGAAACACAAAACAAGATAGAACAGTAAAATCCTACTGAAAAAGTGACGATTTGCATCTCTGTTTTCTGGGGGGTGACTATTTACATGATCATTTCTTGAAAGGTTCGCAGCTGGTACTCGGCTTGCCACAACTAAGGCTGTTTGGGCCCTTTCCGTTGCTTAGCTCAAATTTGGTGGGTCACTAAAAAACTGTACAGCAAAAAAATAACCAATCCCGTCCCCCATTCATGTTAAACCCTCCCATTCTGTCCCAGTCATATGTGGTGTCGTCCCCTACATCCACCATGGTGACTCACTCCAGGGTGTGTGTGTGTGTGTTTTTTTAATACCAACGGGGGAATACCAAAGTACCCATCAAATCTTGATCCAGCAACGTCCATGAAAAACTCATGCACCCACTTGCGCAACCATCCAGCATCCTTTTCTGGCTCATAGCGTCGGGCGGTCAAGCCTCACCAGCTGCTGGAGCTTCGTCAAAAACACCCAAATAGGGAATCTGGTTTTCCAACGTCCCAATTCGTGATTCACTTTCTTGGGCAAAATCCTTATTCAAGTGTTGCGACATATGTAATAAGTAAGTAATAATATATAACTATATAGGATCAACACATGTAACACTTTAGTACTGTTTTTTAATGATACAACTCTATCTGACCATGTATGTTATAGCAATGTCAGGGGATAGATATGATCCTTTAGCCTTTCGACGTTGCCCAACATAGCGAAGGGACCACTTTCAGAAACATCAAAAATCGGTTGAACAAGGGATTTTTGGCGTCTACCAAGACGTTCTACATGTACATATCATTGCGTTGGTTGAAAGAGATATCTATTATGTGGACCACGGTTGCACCATGAAAGCCAAAACTGCTCGCACATATGTCACAGTATAAAAACTATATAAAACTATATTACTGTATCTGCCCCTGTAACCCGGATCGCCATCGTTTGGGTTGGTTAAACCACATATTATATATAATCTGTGCATATAATAATATATATATATATGCATGTAAACCCCCACGGGTAAATAAATTCCTACTAACAGAGCCGCACAGCACTTCTCTGCTGTATTGTTTTTGCTATATAAATAAATAAATAAATAAATATATTATATGCACATATATATATATATACACATTATATATGGTATGTTAGGTATAAATATGTACATAAACGCATATCTCTATACATCAAAATATCCTCC